GATGGGGCTCCCTGTGTGGAGGCACCTGTTGCAGACGCTGGCCAGCTTTCAATAAATCCTTGCTTGCTGCTAAGACCTAATTGGAGTTGGTGGTCTTACTCTCGTGAACATTGGTCCATAACATTTGGAGGCCCCAGCGAGATCCCCGGCAGGGGTGAGAGGGACCCCCTATTTAAGGCAGGAGGCTCTCCTGCATTTATCGCCGGGCACGCAGCGAGATACCTGGTGGTGGTGAGAGGTACCCCGCGAGGGACAGGAGGCTCTCCCACCCATTTGGGCTGGGAAGGCAGTAAGGATTTATTGAAAACCCTAAAATTAAGAGGAGAGCCAGTGGCAGGGGTCCCCTGGTACCTGGTAGCCCCAAATGGGACTTGGTGGGCATGTACAACAGGAATCATTCCGTGCATTCTCTCCTTAACCATGCAGGTGGGGGAGAGCCCATCTCTATGTGTACTGACCCATATTATGCCCCAAGTCTAATATTACTCTGGGGACGGGGGACGAGAGCATCTCCTAATAGAACCAGGGTGGGTCAGGAGGGCCCTGATACTTATTCCCCTCCTAGTAGGGCTTGGATTAGCAGGGTCCACGGCTGTAGAGATGGCAGCCCTAATCAAAGGGGACCAGAACTACCAAGAGCTGGGCCAGCAGATCGACCAGGACCTAAGCACCTTGGAAAAGTCCATAGGGAAACTAGAGGAATCAGTAGGGTCACTGGCTGAAGTGGTTTTACAGAACAGGAGGGGCTTAGATTTATTATTCCTGAAGCTAGGGGGACTCTGCCTAGCCCTGGGAGAAAGTTTAAGCCAACTAAGAAAGAGGTTGGCTGACAGAGCGGAGGCTCGCAAGGCAGCAGGGAACTGGTATGAGAATCTCTTCTCATGGTCCCCCTGGCTTATGACCCTCCTGTCAGCGGTGGCTGGACCCTTACTTTTGCTTATAGTAGGATTAATATTTGGGCCCTGTTTGCTGCGTTGCCTGCTCAATTTTATTCATGACCGAATCCAGGAGGTCAAGCTTATGGTTTTGCACACGAAATACTAGCAACTAGTAGATACTAGCGATGAATCCAGAGACTGATTCATCCTAAAGACCAGTAGGGAATGTGATGGGCATGCACGCTTAGCGTCATATAGTGAAATGGGTATAGATATGTAACCTTTAACTGACGTAAAAGAAAATTTTGTAACTTGTTTGTATGCTCTGTATCTTGATGTTACTCTGTACTTCGGGAACTCGGACACGCTCCAGCCAAGCGTTACACCTGTTTCTACTAAACTTTCAAAGAGCAGGTAGTTTCCACTGGATTGTTCAAAGAATGGGTTGTGGTTAAAAGCTCCAGCCAGGTGTGACACCGCACTGGCTGCTGTCGAGTTTGTGACACCCTTTAAAAAGGCTATTGGAGAAAGGCTTGGGGCTGCAGCAAGATGGGGCTCCCTGTGTGGAGGCACCTGTTGCAGACGCTGGCCAACTTTCAATAAATCCTTGCATGCTGCTAAGACCTAATTGGAGTTGGTGGTCTTACTCTCACGAACATTGGTCCATAACATCCTGAGAGTCACTTACCTTTGTACGACAGTCTTTTCAGTTTTCAAGGGAGTACTGGTAATTGGTGACAGATAGGTAGGGGTTGGGGGAAGAGAAGGAGAAAGAACCTTACTTTAAGGACCAGGTCCCTGGCTTCCTTGAGAAGGCAGTGCTCAGCTTTTGTTCCATTCTCCACCAATATCTGTTCACAAAGGGGAAAATGAGCAGAAGCCCTGAATTATATGAAAACATATGAAGGGAACCAAACAAAGTTTTGCCACCCAAAAGCTACTGAAACAGGAATTTTTAAGGGTGAAAAAGACAGGTTTAGGGAATTTTAGAAATTAAGGGGATCATGGAAGAAGCACAGGGCTGCAGAGCATCAGAAAGTATATTTCCATAGAATAGGGAAGCTAAAAAGCTGTAACAGGTACATTTCCATAGAATAAGGGAGCTGGGAACAGCAAAAGGTCTATATTTACAAAATAAAGAAAAGAAAGCCCTTCATCCAGAAGGAGAAGAAGAAACCCCAAAGGTAAAAGGAAAACAATAATAAAGGAGGGGAGGAAAAACCTCATGTGTCCCAAGTGAGGTTCCACCTTTGAGCTCAGGAGTTACTGTAGTAACCAGTCTAAGGGAATAGTGAGCAATCAGAGGGGATATCATGGCACCGAGATCTGCAGTCTTTATAAACCATGGAAAAGGGAACTCTGTGGGACCCTTTTCCCCTCCCCACGTGGGAGTCTGTACTTGTTCTTTAATAAGTTTTCACCTTTGCTATACCACCTCTGTCTGTGGATTCATTCGTTGACTCCGACGGACAAAGAATCCAGGACATCATGCCCTGTCCAAAAATTCTGCTTCACTACCTTTTCGAAATACTGATTTTAAGCTTTTTTTTTTTAAACAAAAGACTCAGAAAGAACCTTTGATCCTCCCATTTCCTGCCTCAGAGATTTAAATGCAAAGACTACTCTAGGAAGGGAATCTTAGGATATGTCTTAGTCTAATTTGAATTTAGTATGGTGAGAGGGTTCAGGCAGGAATACCCTGTTAGCTAGATACCCCATGCCCCATTGTTTCTGCGTGGCCCAGCAACAATTTGCCTGCCATGTGTGTTCTACGCTTCCTCAACTTCCTGTAAATTGCCCATTCTCAATTCTAAAATCTATGTCCCCCACTTTTCTTCTTTGTCCAAAATGCCATATACTATTATACTCAATGGTGCTTTACTGCCTTTGGAATTTTTATGCCTATGTGAATTACTCATGCGCTTGTGAGAGACCAGTCAGGAGCCGAAAACCAGGATTACAGGCTTTATTAGGGGAAAAAGACCTGCCGGTCTGTCTTGCAAGGGGAGAACAGCAACCCATGCAGAGGTGAACACACCTTTTGAGGGGCGGAATGGGAAGGAATGGAGGCTTAGTGTACTCAGTGTGTGCTGATTGGTGGCTTAATGTATGGTCCATATAGGAACAAGGGCTTAGGATATTTGGCAGGTATTGATTGATGGTTCAATGTATAGTCCATATAAGGTACATAGTCACTCAGGTATTTCCGGGCTGCAGGTTACATCATACTCCACCCACCAGTTGGGGGAAGGGAGGATCTATCAGCTTGTATTAAAATTTTATTTTTTTTCCCTGTTAACCTATCTGTTAATTTGATTAGTAGCCCAGCTAGAAGACCTTAGAACAGCGGTTCTCAACCTGTGGGTCACAACCCCTTTGGCGGTTGAACGACCCTTTCACCGGGCTCGCCTAAGAGCATCCTGCATATCAGATATTTACATTACGATTCATAACAGTAGCAACATTACAGTTATGAAGTAGCAACGAAAATAATTTTATGGTTGGGTCACAGTAGGAGGAACTGTATTTAAAGGGCCAGAAGGTTGAGAACCACTGCCTTAGAAGGTGGGAGCAAAAGTATTATTATTATTATTATTTTTTTTTTAGCTCCCATACATGAATGTCAGTAGCTCTGTAAGAGCATTCACAGATGGAACAGCAGTCCTAAAGGAAGGGGCATCACATATAAGATTGG